AATTTTAGTAGAGATGGGGTTTCACCATGTTAGCCAGGATGGTCTCGATCTCCTGACGTCGTGATCCGCCTGCCTTGGCCTTCCAAAGTGCTGGGATTACAGGTGTGAGCCACCATGCCTGGCCGCCAACATCTAATGTTTTTTGATTTTTTTGATTATGACCATTCTTGCAGGAATAAGGTGGTATCGCATTGTGGTTTTGATTTGCATTTCCCCAATCATTAGTGATGTTGAGCAGTTTTTCATATGTCCATTGTCCACTTGTATATCTTGTTTTGAGAATTGTCTATTCATGCCCTTTTAGCTCACTTTTTGATGGGATTTTTTTTTTTTTTTTTTTTTTTGAGACGGAATCTCACTCTGTCGCCCAGACTGGAGTGCAGTGGCCAGATCTCAGCTCACTGCAAGCTCCGCCTCCTGGGTTTACGCCATTCTCCTGCCTCAGCCTCCCGAGTAGCTGGGACTACAGGCGCCCGCCACCTCACCCAGCTAGTTTTTTGTATTTTTTAGTAGAGACGAGGTTTCACCGTGTTAGCCAGGATGGTCTCAATCTCCTGACCTCGTGATCTGCCCGTCTTGGCCTGCCAAAGTGCTGGGATTACAGGCTTGAGCCACCGCACCTGGCAGGGATTGTTTTGTTCTTACTGATTTGTTTGAGTTTGTTGTAGATTCTGGATATTAGTCTGTTGTCAGATGTATAGACTGTGAAGATTTTCTCCCTCTTTGTGGGTTGTCTGTTTACTCTGTTGACTGTTCCTTTTGGCATGCTCTTTAGTTTAATTAGGTCTCAGCTATTGATCTTTGTTTTTTATTGCATTTGCTTTGGCGTTATTGGTCACGAAATCCTTGCCAATGTCTAGACGGGTTTTTCCAATGTTATCTTCTATAATTTTTATAGCTGCAGGTCTTAGGTTTAAGTCCTTAATCCTTCTTTTTTTTTTTTTTTTTGAGATGGAGTCTCACTCTGTCGCCCAGGCTGGAGTGCAGTGGCCCAATCTTGGCTCACTGCAACCTCCACCTCCCGGGTTCAAGCAATTATCCCACCTCAGCTTCCTGAGTAGCTGGGATTACAGACCTGTGTCACCATGCCCAGCTAATTTTTGTATTTTTAGTGGAGACGGGGTTTCACCATGTTGGCCAGGCTGGTCTCAAACTCCTGACCTCAGGTGACCTGCCTGCCTCAGCCTCCCTAAGTGTTGGCATTACAGGCGTGAGCCACTCACCTGGCCCCTTAATCCATGTTGAGTTGATTTTTGTATAAAGTGAGAGTTTCATTCTCTTACATGTAGTTGGCCAATTATCCCAGCACCATTTGTGGAAAGGGTGTCCTTTTTCCACTTCATGTTTTAGTTTGCTTTGTTGAAGGTCAATAGGTATTTAGGTTTATTTCTGGGTTCTTTATTCTGTTCTGCTGGTCTATGTGCCCATTTTTATACCACTACCATGCTGTTTTGGTCACTATGGCCTTATAGTATAGTTTGAAATCAGGTAGTGTGATGCCTCCAGATTTGTTCTTATCCCCTTAGTATTAAATACTATAATTTTGAATTTCAAAAAGCCTTTAATACTTAACTTTATTTCTGGGTTTTGAGAGATACTTATTTACTAAAAATAAACCATTTTATCACTTCACATAATTTTAGTTCACTGGTTAATTCTATTAAATATTTAAAAAACTAATCCCACGCCTACACAAGCTCTCAGAAAACAGAGCATGGAACATTTCCCAACTAATTCTATGAGGCCACTATTACCCTGATAAAAGCATCAAAAGAAAACTACAGACTAATGTCCCTTATGAGTCAGATGCACAAATCCTTAACAAAATATTAGCAAATAGGATCCATCAATACAAAAAAGGATTATGCACTGTGACCAAGTGGAATTTATCCCACATAATTTTGGAGGTTATCTTCCCATGTAATTTTGGGGATAACCTTCCCCTCCCATAATATAATGTTAACAAATTGAATTCTGGATATCACTTATAGCTTTGTCTAGGCAGTGAGAACTTTAACATAAAGTCATTGTACTGATGGGAAACTATTATTGTTAGTATTAGCGTAATGAGAAGCAAAAATACGTACAAGATGCACAGGATGTTCAAAGGAGTCTCAGTTGGTGTGGGAGTGAAACTGTCCTATGCGTTCTTCTTGCCTGCTGCATAGATAAAGCCAATTTACTGAGACAGTATTACTGCCATACAGAAAGAGTTTAATAAGTGCAGAGACAGCTAACAGGAGACTGGAGTTTTATTACTGAAATCAGTCTCCCCCAAAATTCAGAGACTAGGCTTTTTAAAGGATAATTTGGTGGGCAGGAACTAGGGAGTGGGGAGTGCTGATTGGTCGGGTGAGGGATGAAATAATAGGCTGTCGAAGTAGGTTTTTCTTGCTGTCTTCCATTTCTGAGTGGGATCACAGAACTAGCTGAGCCAGTTTGCCGGTCAGGGTGGTGCCAGCTGGTCCATCAGAATGGGGGGACTGACTGAAACATATCTCTAACACCAATCTTAGGTTTTCAATAGTGATGTTAATCACAGGAGCAACTGGGGAGGTTAGGAATCTTGCGGCCTCTGGCTACATGATGCCTGAGCCATGATTTGTAATCTTGTAGCTACTTTGTTAGTTTTACAAAGGTGGGCTGGTCCCCAAGCCAGGAGGGGGTTTGTTTTGGGAACGTGCTGTTCTCATCTTTGTTTCAAAGTTAAACCATAAACTCAATTCCTCCCATAGTTAGCTCAGCCAACACCCAGGAATGAACAAGGACACCATGGAGGTTAAAAGCAAGATGGAGTCAGTTAGGTCAGATTTCTTTCATTGTCGTCATTTTCCTATGTCAGATTTTTCTCACTGTCATAATTTTTGCAAAGCTGGTTTTAGAAGAATCAGGGACTCAGGCTGACTCTAACAGAAGTATGATTTTGTGTCAGAGAAGAGGGCAGTTATACTGGAATGTTCGTTCCAGAGGGAGAAGGAATGGAATGTGTAAAATGAACTTCTGTCTATTCTAATAGAAGGAGGACTGGCCAGAAAGAAGGAGGACCAGAGGGAAAGAGCAAGGACAACCTACAGAAGCTTCTCCTTTAAGACCCTGTATGAAACAATGAATAAAGCCCTCACCCATGCTGGCAGATACTTAACAAGGTCAGTTTCTCTTCCCTTTAAGGAGAATAATTTAAAAATAATCATACCATCTAGTAATTATATTTTACTTGTATTTTATCTTTAAAAGATCAGAATTAGGTTTCCTTTCAGTACTTTGCAAATAAGCAGCACATCTGGCCAGTTCCCAAGAATTTGTCAAGGGTGGTAAACATTGCAGAGCTGGACTAATTGTGGCTACTTTCATTCTCTCTCTGATAAATTTCATTTCCTTCCCTGAAACTTCATGAACTTCCTTTGGGGTACAGCTAATGAGAGCATGTGGGATGGGCTGAGACCTTTATCATCTTCAGCCATTTGTGTTAAATTGAATATTATGATGTATCTTTTATGGTCAGCCTTACATGCTAGCTCACGGAGGACAGTTGCTAGCTCAGTTTGAGGCTGCAGAAAAATGGAAGAGAATGAAAGATGATTCTTGCCTTTGTGCAGTTAGCATTCTAGTTTGAAAATACAAAACATAATGCACATAATGTAACATGTGACTACAAATCTGTAACTACCATGCATTGAGCAACTACTATGGGACAGACATTGTGCTTACATAAACACACACACTTTAATTCTCACAAAAACCAGGGAGGAGATAGGGTTAACCCCCTCCTGCCCCACCCCTTTTATGAGAAAACTGACTTAGAGAAATTGACTCCTCAAAGGTCACCTAGCTAGAAAGTGGTGGAACCAGGTTTTGAACTCAGGCAAAGAGATATTCCAGGACAAAATAAGCTTCAGTGAAGAGTTGTAGTAAGTTCTAAGGACTGAGAAATTTATATTGAATTTTTCTGCGACCTTGGGCAAGTTATTTAATTTGTAGGAGCCTCATTTTTCCTTATCTGTGAAGTGGCTCTTTCTTCATTAGGTTGTTCTGAGAGTGAATGAGATGATGCATGAAGCCCGGCAGCACATTCCGAGTGTATAATACCATTCCGAGTGTATAATAAAGGCTCAGTAAGGTCAATAAGTGAATTAATGAACTCACATCACTGGTAACCCCCAGAGGGGACTCAGGCTCCACTGTTTTTCTTAAACAAAAATACTGAAATCCAGGCTGGGCGCAGTGGCTCACACCAGTAGTCCCAACACTGGAAAGCTGAGGCAGGAGGATTACTTGAGCCCAGTAGTTCAAGACCAGCCTGGGCAACACAGTGAGACCTTGTCTCTTAACAAGTCCAAAGGGAATCATGGCCTCAACAATCCCAGTACAGCTCAACAGTTAACTGCCCATGCTCTTTTCCTTAATGCTGTACAACCTCCCTGGGGTTTCTCCTTCTTTGGCAAGTGAGAGGCGTGCCCCTCAGCACCGGCTGAGCACACCGGGCTTGAATTTTAAAAAGGGGGAAGCCTCGGGGCACGGTGGCTTACGCCTGTAATCCCAGAACTTTGGGAGGCCGAGGCAGGCGGATCACTTGAGGTCAGAGTTCGAGACCAGCCTGGGCAATATGGTGAAACCCTCATCTCTAGGAAATAATTTCTAAAATAAGCCGGGTGTGGAGGCGTGCGCCTGTACTCGGGGAGGCTGAGGCATGAGAATCGTTTGGGCCCAGGGGTCGAGGCTGCGATGAGCGGTGATCGCTCCACTGCACTCCAGCCTGAGCGACAGTGAGAGACTCTGTCTCCAAAAAAAAAAAAAAAAAAAAAAAGAAGAACAAGTAAAAGCTCTCGGAGCGACTTTCCCTTGGATAAGGCAGGCACACGCTAAGTCCCCTCCCCATCGGGGACCTTGGGGACAAACAGGACGGTGAGCATTTCCCTCCCCCGTCCCCGTTCGGTCACTGCCACGGGCTGTACACCGGCGGGGGAAGGACGGGGGCGGGGGCGCGAGGAGGAAGGGCTAACCAGCCTGCTTCTCAGCCCCTGCCCGAGACGGAGGCGGCGCCCGGGGCGGGCCAAGCGTGACCGCGGGTCGGCGGGGCGGGTTTAAGAGCGCGGCGTGCGCGCCCTGCCCGCGCCCGCTCCCGGCCGCGGCACAGCAGCCTTGGCGCCCCCCGCGCCGCTGCCCCCGCCCCGCCGTCGCCGCCGCAGCCAGGAGCCGCCGCACCATGCCCCGCATAGATGCGGACCTCAAGCTCGACTTCAAGGATGTCCTGCTCCGACCTAAGCGGAGCAGCCTCAAGAGCCGAGCCGAGGTGGGGGCCGTTCGGAAGTCGCAGTGGGGCTGGGATTTTTTTTACCGGGTGGCGCCGGGCAAGTGGGTGGAAGGGGGGTGGCACGGGGTTACCCTGCCTGCTTTGGTGTTTGAGGCTGGGGCGCTGCATCCCTGTTCCCCCGACCCAGCACCTGCCGGGACGTGAGGTGTCTTTAAGGGCGGTGATACGGGGGCCCTTGAAATTCTCTACACGTCGGTCCCGTTAGGTGGCCTGGGGGAAGTTTACAATGAAACTTGACCACAGATGAGCAGAGATCCAGTGGCCAGTTGGTTTAGAAGGAATGGGGGTATGAGGGCGCATATTGCAAGAAAAGGAAACTGGAGCTAGAGAAGAGAGGACGACAAAAACAACTGCAGATCCCGGTGATTTTTGGCAGCGTCTCCTAGTGCTGAGAATTGCTGCTGCTTTCGCTTCAGGTCCAGCGGTGGAACTTAGTGAATGCGTCTGAAAAAACAGGAGAACCCAGGGCACAAGTTCAGTGTTTCCTTTCGGAGTTTGGCGGCCTTGCTGGCAGTGGGGCTTGGAGACTCTGCGGTCCTGGACAGTCCGCAGTCCCAGCCTAGCCCTGGAGAAGCGGAAAGCTTTGGGGTGGGAGAGGTGGGGGCGAATTGGAAGCCTCGGGCATTTCCCTGGTTCTGCCTGGATGTACTCAAATCCTAAGGAACAGGTGAAGACCAGACTGGAAATAGCCTGGGGCTGGGGGAAGGGAGGTCAGCCCCTGAAGGATAAACTAGTTGCACTGAAAGGCAGAGTGCCCCGGGGTGGTGTGCGCTGGTGACTGTGGCTTTGCTGAGAGCTGGAGCGGAAGGTGAGGAAACTGGACACGGCTGAAGGAGTAAACACTAGGAGGCTGGGCCAACCTGCACAGCTCCGTCCGTCCGGCTCCACAAACAAGACCATAAATAAATCCCCTCAGCAAAGAAGTCCGCTGCCCACTCCGGTGACAGGCCTAACTGCAGTGCCTGGGGCTGCCAGCCGAGGGCTTGCTTGGATTGGGGAAGCCTCCGCGTTAGCCAATGACTAAACCAAGGGGCCTTCTGTAAGCGGCAGCATTGGCTGGCTGGAGCCCGGCAGGACTGCAGGAGGTGAGGGAGCAATGATTAAAGCTTATCACCCCAGATTGGGTGACCCTGTGCCTGTCCCTCATGACCTTTCAGGTGCTGAAGAGGGGGCCTCTCATGGAACAAAAACAGTTTGGAGGGCAGGCCTGGGTCTCTGGAAGCATGAGCTGTAGCCAGTACCTAAGGCAAGACCAAGATGAAATACCGGGATTCTGGATATGCTAATAATTTGGTGGCCTCAATATTCTTTAAATATTCAAAATGTATTTAGAAGAGAGAAACTTATTTTTCAGAAAATTGGATGTTCAAAACAAAGATATACCTATTTTCTGAACCAGAAAACATGTTGAGAAGGTAAAATATTGAACATAAATGTAATAGGGCCAGGCACAGTGGCTCACACCTGTAATCCCAGCACTTTAGGAGGCTGAATTGGAAGGATTGCTTGAGGCCAGGAGTTTGAGACCAGCCTAGGCAACATAGCAAGACCTCTGCTCTACAAAAATTTAAAAAATCAGCCAGGGCAGTTGTGCACACCTGTAGTCCCAGCTACTTGGAAGGCTGAGGTGGGAGGATGGCTTGAGCTCAGGAGTTGGAGATTACAACAGAAATTTTAAAAATTAGAGCAGTGGTATACACCTGTAGTCCCAGCTACTTGGAAGGCTGAGGCGGGAGGATGGCTGGAGCCCAGGAGTTAGAGATTACAACAAAAATTTTAAAAATTAGAGCTATGGTGCACACCTGTAGTCCCAGCTACTTGGAAGGCTGAGGCGGGAGGATGGCTGGAGCCCAGGAGTTGGAGGTTACAGTGGGCTATGATGGTGCCACTGCACTTCAGCCTGGACAACCCTGTCTCTAGAGCTAAAATGAAATTTATGTAATAGAATGAATTACTCCTCAGAGAACACTATCACATCATGCGACAATGTCATGCAACACTTGGCTTCGCAATTTGGGCAGATTGTAACTACTAATGTTCCAGTTTGGGATGGCACCTTTGCAATCTTCATGTACACATTGCAGTGAGAACTCAGTGCCCTTGAGATGTCTTTTTTACATTTTCACGTTCATGGGAGTTTGTCAGCCATGGGCCTGGAGACTGAAGTTAACCAGCATTGCGTTTCTAATCGGTTGCCGTGAAGGTTTAGCTCCCTGGTGCGTGAGGCTGTTGCCTGGCCGACCACCCCCATGATCTGACTTTACTTGCCTCAGTGGCGTTGAGGATCTAGTTAGGCCTCCCTAATCCCCTCTTAATGTTTTCTCAGTTTGCTTGTTGATGCCTGAAATTTTTCATAGGCAGATAAAAACTTTTCCTTGCACAATCAGAAGCTTAAAATGTGTGCATCCTGGCAGAAGTAATATCTGGAGGCAAATTGGAAACTGAACGGTAGATGACCGACATTGAGCCTGACAGTGGATTTGTGTGGAGCCAGGAAAGAGAACGTACACCCTGGGAGTAGAGTCTGGCTGGGGGAGGAGGGTTTTGACAGCTGATGATGGGCTTATCCTCGTGACAGTTTTGCTAAGAGCCAGGCCCAGCAATGGATCGTCAGGCTATAAGCAGGAAACGGACAGTAAGAGTGATCTCCCCCTCAGAAGCTTCAGGACTCCTGCAAGGACATTTCCACCAGCCTCCCATGAATGAACATGAATGAAATGAATCTGAGGTCACCTCTGAGAGGCAAAGAATACAGGTAGCAGTGGCCCAGGTGGCCTTAGCCTGGATTCTCTAGGGAGGCATTCATCTCTCAAATGTCCAGCCCCTGGCATGGAAGAATAAAGCTCCACAGGGTCATGTGGGGACATTTGGATAATCTTTTTCTGAGAAGTAATGAGTTTGTGGATTGAGACAAGACCTTTGTTTTCATCTGATATGCTGGGGAGCCTGCATTCTCCCTGAGTGTTTTCTTCCTTAGAACCCATTTCTGGCTTAAATATTCTACCCTAGTCTTTAAGCTAGTAAGAATGTGCAATGGTGTCATTTTGGCTCAGCACAACCTCTGCCTCCCAGGTTCAAGCGATTCTCCTGCCTCAGCCTCCCAAGTAGCTGGGATTATAGGCATGTGCCACCACACCCAACTAATTTTGTATTTTTAGTAGAGACAGAGTTTCTCAGGCTAGTCTCGAACTCCCGACCTCAGGTGATTCGCCCACCTCAGCCTCCTAAAGTGCTGGGATTACGCACCTGGAAATTTCTCCTTTTTATAAGAACAACAGTCATATTGGACTAGGGCTCACCCTCTTGACCTCACCTTAGCTTGATCATCTGCAGTGACCCTATTAACTAAATAAGGTCCCATTTACAGGTACTGGAGGTTAGGACTTCAACATTTTTTGTGGAGGGAGACATAAATCAACCCATAACAGTCTTTGTAAATTTTGCTTTGGAAAATTAAAGAGTTTGGCGCTGTTCTGAGTCATGAATGCATTAGAATCGCCTAGGGAAACACTCCAAAATACACATGTGTCCAGCACAAAGGTGGTGATTCATGAAGTTTGAGGCAGCTGGAGCACGAGTATTTTGGAACCACTTCTAAGAGGATTCTGATGGGTACCCGGGTGTGCTGGACCAGCCTCTGAAGCCCTTTCCATTTGTGGAACCCTGCGGCTTGCTGGTAGCACTGCAGCTGGGCATGAGCTTCTCACGAGCCTGATAACTGAGGGTGAGGCTTTCAGGGCTTGGATGCACATTCAGAAGTCTGGGCTGGGGCCACCAAACACTGCAAAAGGCTGGAGGCCAGAACACAGTATTCTTACCTTTTAGCCAGGCGTTAGTTTATCCCACGCAATTTGAGCTACTAGAACTACAAAGTTGGAAGACGTTGTCCCTATACTCAGACAGGTGTTACAGATAATGAGCAATCTATATAATTATGTAATAAAATACAATACATAAAAGAATTGCTTTACTCGGTGCCATCCGTAGATCTAGGAAAGGAGCCTCTGACCTGGGTCCCCTGTCTGCCCCCCTAATTGCATCCCTTCTCACCAGGCAGGGCCTGTGGGCTATGCTGTTCCTTAGGCCGTGCTCTAAGTACTCGGGATCCTGGATATCCTTCCCCAAGTGACTTTGAGCTGACTCTAAGGCCTGCATGGGCTTCTTGCCCTGGTATGTTTCCAAGGGCCACCCATGATGCTGTTGTGCTCATCTCCAACCCAGAGCGGGCAAGTGGCAGTTGTTTATGGAAAAGTACGTGGGTATGCACAGAGCTTTATGTGCAGACTGAAGGTGGGGGGCTATTCCTCTGTGCATACATAAGGATTTAGGTGAGAAGGGAAGAGGGGCAGACTGGGGCCCAGGGCCAGCTCCCCACCACCATTTTCTGATGCCTTTCTGGTTGTGAATGAAATTGGTTTTTTTTTTAGGGTAGGAGGTTAGAACCTATTTTGTGTAGCAGTTTGTTCGTTGGACTTATTACATTGAATTATTTAGGAATGTGGTAGGTGGGCCTCTATTTGTACTTTTTTTTTTTTTGAGACAAAGTCTCACTGTCACTCAGGCTGGCATGCAGTGGCATGATCATGGCTCACTGCAGCCTCAGTCTCCCATGTTCAATCAATCATCCCACCTCAGCCTCCTGAGGAGCTGGGACTACAGGCTCGTGCCACCCAAGCCTGGCTAGTTTTTTGTATTGTGTGTAGAGATGGGGTTTCACCATGTTGCCCAGGCTGGTCTCGAATTCCTGAGCTCAAGTGATCTGCCTGCCTCGGCCTCCCAAAGTACTAGGATTACGGGTGTGAGCTACCATGCCGGTCCATTTACACTTTTGAGCCCCTGACATGTTGGGTGGCAGGACTGGCTTTAATGAAGGCCTGTTAGAGAGCAGCAGAGATGTGTGTTAGCAGATGGGGGAGGAGACTTTGTTACTTTTTGTTCCCTTTCAGGTCAGGCTTAGACAGGGAATCAAATCTATATTTGGCATACTGGCCGGCTGTGCCAGACTAAGTGCCAAGTGCTGTTCCTGTGAGGCTGAAATATTTAAAATATTTATCTCTGCTAGTGAACAACTGGCCTGGGTTATGTGTGTGTGTCTGGGCGGATAAAGTTGGGGAAGATCACTTTATTTCTCATTCTTAGAATTAATGGTGGCAAAGAGCTAGCTCATAAAAAGGACTGGAAATGAGGGGAAGCGTTTACTGTTAAGGCTGCCCTTTTCCATGAAGAGCTCTGCGTTTTGTGTCCTGCTGATAGGTTTTGGCGTGCCAAGAAAAGCCCATTGTGATCTCAGCCGGGTGCGCAGTGTAGCAGCTAGCCCCATGCCTGTTGGAGGATAGAAGAGTAATTTGAGACCAAGGAATTCTGATTGTTTCAAGCCTGCCAAGCCAAATGTTAGAGAGCCATTAGCCGCATACAGGGTTGCCATGGGTAGATCCCTTCAGTTCTCTTTCAGAATGTCGCTATAACGTGCTCCACTGAAGTATAACCCAGAGTCATCAGGAAGGAAGTGGAGAAAGGGATGCGCCGCTGCGCGTAGGTTCGTGCACTTCCAGCATCTCATTTCTCCTCGCTGATTGCTGTGTGAGGCCTGTGCAGTCATGTTTATGACATCATTCACCCAGGATGCCTTCTGGACACAGAATCCTGTGTTGAGAAGCAAGAGAAATGAAAAGGCTTAAGGGGCGGAGCCGTCCCGTGGTGTTTTCTGACTTAATGCTGATTGCAAAGTGAAAGTTGACTCAAGTGAAAAAAATGAGAGGAGTATCCAGGTAAACATGGCAGAAAATGACTCTTGCTGGCGTAATTCATGAAGCCAGGGTTAATGTAGGCTAAGTTACTTCAGAAGCGTAAGATTCACACCTGTGCTTCTCTGGCCAGTTTCCCTTGGGGAGGCACTCACTTCTAATGTGGTTCGTGTCTATCAGAGTCCAGCCAGAGAAACAAACAATGCTGACTGTTTAAAACATGGAATTGAATGCGGGGCATCCTCACACAACTGAGGATATTGAGGCACCCCAGAGATCAGCAACAGCAAGAAGCCATCCCTACCTTAGGGCGAGGGTCGGAGGGAGAAGACAGTGCTCTGGAGCCCAGGAAGGGACTGGGCTCGCTTCGGGAAAGCTGGAACGAGGAATACGCAGGCCTCTCTGGTCAGAGGATCCAGGCCTGGAGGCGACACAGCTGCTCTGGAGAAGCTGCCTAAGGCAGCGGGGTTCTGGGAGAACTACCCTGACTTCCCCCCACCGCTGCCTGCCACTGTCCTCCAGTTTCCCATCCAGTGTCCTCCATTGACCAATCCCAGCCAGAAATGAACTTGAGAAGTGGAACCTGTAACAGGTAGCCTTCCTGGGATAAGAGCAGGCTGAGGATGGTGGGTGGGTAGACAGGCTGGCATCTGCCCTGGGTCAGAGAAGTAATTCGGACTCTTCCAGCTCTTGGTGAGTGCCTGGCTCTATCTGGCACGTGGCTTCTGTCAAGCCCACCCTTGTGGCTGTGTTGTTCTGGATTGCCGATAGCAGGGTTAGTCCTACATGCCCTGATCTTGAAGTTACAGAAGAATTGGAGCCCCCGCGCCCACCCCTCTGCCCCCCAGCTGCTTGCAAGTCAAAGGAACAAGTGTTGATATGTGGGAACATATGGTTGCAATGTACTTTCCACCAGCTTTTTGAAAGATCCTCATAATTAAAGCAGCCGTGGAGGGTAAAAGGCAAAGGGATTAATGGCGTGGTGCTCACTGCAGGGCGAATTTGGAGTGGGGCTCTAGGTGAAAGGTAAGAAGTGAAGGGGGCCGGGCGCGGTGGCTCAAGCCTGTAATCCCAGCACTTTGGGAGGCCGAGACGGGCGGATCATGAGGTCAGGAGATCGCGACCATCCTGGCTAACACGGTGAAACCCCGTCTCTACTAAAAATTACAAAAAACTAGCCGGGCGAGGTGGCGGGCGCCTGTAGTCCCAGCTACTCGGGAGGCTGAGGCAGGAGAATGGCGTGAACCCGGGAGGTGGAGCTTGCAGTGAGCTGAGATCTGGCCACTGCACTCCAGCCTGGGCGACAGAGCAAGACTCCATCTCAAAAAAAAAAAAAAAAGAAGTGAAGGGATTGTTCCAGGACGAGGGCCATGGTTGGCAAGGAAGAGTGGAGCAGGTGCTCCCAGGAGGGGAATGGTTTCCATAGAGCTTGGAGGTGGGGTGAAGATAACATGTACAAGGGTCTTTAGGGATGCGGCTAGAAGGCGGCAGTGGGGTTGGAGAGGCTGGGAAAGGAGGAGAGAGCTTCTGATTCTGAGGCTTGTCTTGATGGTGGAATTTCCAGTGCCTTCTGCTGGTGCTTGAGCAAGGAAAGTGAGGAGCCCATTTCAGCTTTTGCACCTGAATCCAGTGCCTTACCTGGTTTCCTTTGCGACTCTGGTGTCTTTGGAATACCTGTCTTTGACCCCTAGGAGAATCCAGGGATCTTTGTGTTGTTCTTACTCACTCCAAACTCCAGAAATTCTGCACATTTCACATAAGAGCAAAGCACTCATATCTTCCCACCCCCCCTTTTTTTTGTTTTTGCCAACAGGTGGATCTTGAACGCACCTTCACGTTTCGAAATTCAAAGCAGACCTACTCAGGGATTCCCATTATCGTGGCCAACATGGACACTGTGGGCACATTTGAGATGGCAGCTGTGATGTCACAGGTGAGGCGGTAGGCTTTTGTTTTTTTCCTTTGCTGCTCACAACATGGACATGTTATCAAGAGCCCCCCCGGCTTTATAGACAGGGAAGAGTAGAAATGTGAGATGCTTTGGGTCATTCTCTGTCTTTCCTTTCAATCAGAAAGTAGACAGTGTCTGGATTTTGTGTTCAGTGAGATGGTCTAGATCTGCATCCATTGCTTCCATGAATATGACTGTGATGGTTTTGGAAATTAGAGATACAAAAAGAAGCTAGACAACATGAAGAGTGCCATATTGCAGAAAAGTGACAACCCCTTTAAAATTAAGGCAGAGCTGTTTTGTATGCAGTCTGTGCTGCAGCATTTACTGTATAATTATGTCGAATACATGTATCGAGTGCTTATGTGCAAAACACTGCAGATAATGTATTTCTTTTTTTTTAGATGGAGTCTTGCTGTTGCCCAGGCTGGAGGGTGGTGACACAATCTTGGCTCACTGCAACATCCGCCTCCCTGGTTCAAACGATTCTCCTGCCTCAGCCTCCCAAGTAGCTAGGATTACGGGCACATGCCACCAAACCCGGCTAATTTTTGTATTTTTAGTAGAGATGGGGTTTCACCATGTTGGCCAAGCTGGCCTTGAACTCCTGACCTCAGGTGATCCGCCTGCCCCAAGTGCGGGGATTACAGGTGTGAGTTACTGTGCCTGGCCTGTATCTCTTAATTCTGGACACAGCTCAACAAGATAGGTTCCTTTTACAGATGAGGAAACTGAGGCAGAGAGGAGAGGGGTAGGTCACTTGCCCTAGGCCCTCAGCCAGATAGATGCAGAGAGAGAATCAGGATTCCAACCCAAACTGACTCTTGAATCTAAGGAATTTACCCCTCAACTTAAATGGACAGATCACAGTACAAGCTCAAGGTCTCTTTTAGTCAACTACAACAGCCTAATTTTCCATAAAGAGGGGTTAATATCCTGGCTTTGGCTGGGTGTAGTGGCTCACACCTGTAATCCCAGGATTTGGGGAGGTGGAGGCAGGCGGATTGCTTGAGCTCAGGAATTCAAGACCAGACCGGGCAACATGGCAAAGCCTCGTTTCTATAAAAAAAAAAAAAATGAAAATTGGCTCGGTGTGGTGGCATGAGCCTGTAGTCCCAGCTACTCGGGAGGCTGAGGTGGGAAGATCACTTGAGCTGGGAGGCAGAGGTTGCAGTGAGCCAAGATGGCGCCACTGCACTCCGTCGGCGTGACAGAGCAAGACCCTGTCTCAAAAAACAAAACAAAACAAAACAAAAAACCGAAAAAACAAAACTCATTGTGTAGATCAATCTGAGAAGTACTGTTTGTTAAAATACAATTTAAAAACAGATTAAAAATAGTGTCCTGGCTTTGGGAAAAATAAAGGAAAACCCGTTTGGGCAGGACCTTTATGGGTGAGGGCCAGAGCATCTTCTGCATCCTAGATGTGGAATGTCTGCTCTACTCAGGGGTTCTGTCTTTCCTGTGGATAATGCCTGCCAAGTGAAAAGGTAAATCCAATTAGTTGAGAGAGCTTCTCACTGTGGGCAGCAAGTCTAACCACAGGAGGTGCTGAGATTCATTATTAGCCAGCGATTCGAAGGAAAAGATTCTCAAATAAATTATGAGCTCCCAAAATGGAGTAGGGGTGGTCTGTCAGATTCCATGATCACTTGCATTGTCTGTCAGACCTCAGCCCCTACTGAGCATTGGGCCAGAGGCTAATACATTAATTGCTAAGGAACTGGTATTTTTTTTCTCCTCACCCTTTCCCTGCTTTGCTCTGTCATCAGCCATTGCTACTGATGGATTATGTGTTAGTATAAAAGTGAGGGGAACCAGGGAGCAATCAATTCTGATTAATTAACATAATAGGTTATAGTCCAGGAAAAACCTAGAACTTGCTGTGCTCTTCCCATTTTCCTAGGAAGTCTCCCTGCTAACGGAATAGCGTAGTCTGGTGTAGCTAACCATGGATGGCTACTGTGAATTTCCTGTTTCTAGGATCCATAGAACTAGTGCAAGTTACTAAAGTCATAGAAGTTTAGGATGAGAAGTTGTAGATGGGGACATAGGTAGCCCCAGAGAAGTTAGGTGGGAGGCTTCTGTTAAAGGGCAAGGTGTACAATCTCCATAGTCAGATCCGAGTTTGACTCTGGCCTTCGTCTGTCTCTTCCTAGCCATGCATGCAGTTGTTAATTTTTGTAATTTTTTTTTTTTGAGACCGAGTTTTGCTCCTGTTGCCTAGGCAACAAGGCAGTGGTGCCATCTTGGCTCACTGCAACCTCCGCCTCCCAGGTTCAAGTGATTCTGCTGCCTCAGCCTCCCGAGTAGCTGGGATTACAGGCACTCCACCATGCCCGGCTAATTTTTTGTATTTAGTAGAGATGGGGTTTCACCATGTTAGTCAGGCTGGTTTTGAACTCCTGACCTCAGGTGATTCACCCACCTCACCCTTCAAAAATGCTGGGATTACAAGTATACACCATCGCGCTCAGCAAATTTTGTAGGTTTTATTTGTTTTTTGTTTTTTAAATAGACATGGGGGTCTTGCCATGTTACCAGGCTGGTCTCGAACTCCTGGGCTTAAGTGATCCTCCTGCCTCGGCCTCCTAAAGTGTTGGGATTACAGGCGTAGGCCACCATGCCTGGGCAATTTAAATCTCTTAAGCTCCATTTATGCTCGTGAAGCTAATAATGCTGTTCAAAGTTGTTCCAAAAATTAAATGATATGTGGAAAAGACTGACACAAAGCAGGTCAGCAGGTCATAAATGCTGGGGCAATAGTCATAGATTTAGGGTTATACTTTATGTAATTCCCACCGTCAAGAATACCAACTGCCCGATGGATTTACCTTGCAGCAAGAAGTGTTCAGGTTGTGAACACAAGAGAAACTTTCAGGGGTAAGGTGGGGTTCTTCAGGGTTGGCTAAGCAGAAGTTTGCGTTAGGATGGTCCTTCTCCTGGGCGGGGGACCTGCTGCCTGGTTTTCTCTTTGGACCATCTGTGCTGCTTTTGGCCTAATACAGGTGTGGGTGGGAGCCTGGGTGGGCTGGGCAGGGCTCTGAGAATTGTCTTTTATCCCTCTCCTGCCTCCTGGCAGAGCCTCCGTAGTCCTGAATGCAGTATTGTCTAACCAGATTAGAATGGGAAACAGGGTTTTATGATTTCAGTGGTTGTACCTTTGTCTGGTTTTGGCTGCTAGGAGCATATTCAAAGCAAATTAAGCATGGATGGCAGGAACACTGATGCCTTTGTCTTGTTGGATCACCACCTCCAGATGGAGGAGGGAGGGGGGCTCTCTCTTGGCTTCCCATCCTAATGGTGCTGTTTTGTTTCCTAGCACTCCATGTTTACAGCAATTCACAAGCATTACTCCCTGGATGACTGGAAGCTCTTTGCCACAAATCACCCAGAATGCCTGCAGGTACGACTACAACCTGGTTATCAATTAGCAGTGTAGCAGGGGGAGCAAAATCTTCAGAGCTGTCAAGAGGATTTCAGTCAGTAGCAGAGAGACATTGAGAGTTCGGTGTTTCTCTAGCCCTGTGCCATTGCCAGGGATTTGCTGAGAAAACTTGTTTCCATATCGTGTTATTAAAATACTAGGATTTATCTGTAAGAAATGTCTGTTTTCCCTTGAAAGATGAAGTGTTATATCCCAAGAGCTTGGGGAAGACCTGTGTTTCCTGCCAGCTAATTCAAGGTAGAGCCTGTCTTTTGGCTGTAGAAAAAACTTCTGAGTAAAACAAGGTGTTTTAGAGTTGAGTAAACATTATTCCCACCAAGATGGCTGTCATCAAAAAGACAGATAATAGCCAGGCACCATGGGTCATGCCTGTAATCTCGGCGCTTTGGGAGGTTGAGGTGGGAGGATTGCTTGAACCCAGGAGTTCAAGGCCAGCCTGGTTAACATAGTGAGACCTCCATCTCTATTTAAAAAAAGACAATAATTGTTGTTGAGGATATGGAGAAACTGGAACCCTTGTTCACTGCTGGGAATGGAAAATGGTGCATGCAGCTGCTTTGGAAAACAGTTGTCAGTTCCTGGAACATTAACCATAAGAGTTACCATGTGACCCAGCAATTCCATTTCTAAGTGTAGACTCAACAGAAATGCACACATTTCCGCAGAAAAACTTGTACATGAATGTTCATAGCAGCGTTATTCATAATAGCCCAAAGTAGACTCAACCCAAATGTCTATCAGTGGGTGAAAGGACATACAAAATAAGGTATAGCCATACAATGGAATATTGTTCAGCCGTAAGAAGGAGTCAAGGTCTGATACAGGCTACAGCATGGACGAACCTTGAGGACATTTCACCAAGTGAAAAGGCCAGAAGCAGCCGGGTGCGATGGCTCACGCTTGTAATCCCAGAACTTTGAGAGGCCGAGTTGGGTGGATGACTTGAGGTCGGAAGTTTGAGATCAGCCGGCCCAACATGGAGAAACCCTGTCTTTACTAAAAATACAAAATTAGCCAGGTGTGGTAGCGCATGCCTATAATCCCAGCTACTTGGGAGGCTGAAGCAGGAGCATTGCTTGAACCCGGGAGGTTCAAGTGGAGGTTGCAGTAAGCCAAGATCGTGCCATTGCACTCCAGCCTGGGCAACGAGAGAGAAACTCTGTCTCAAAAAAGAAAAAAAAAAGAAAAGGCCGCACGCAAAGGCCATAGCATCTATGATCCTATTTCTAGGAAATGTCTAGAATAGGCAAATCTAAGCCATAAAATAGATTAGTGGCCTGAGGGGCTGAGGAAGTGTGGGGAGGGAATGTGGTTAAAGGGTATGGGACTTTCTTTGGGAGGAATATGAAAATGTTCTAAAATCGATCATGATGGTTACAGAACTCTGAATGTACCAAAAATCATCAAATTGTGCATGTTGAATGGGTATGGCATGTCATTGTATTTCAAAAAGCTGTTAAAAACCCAAGCATTTTAAAAAAAACAAAAAGCCCTGCTGCAACATGCCTGCACCTTCTCCTGCGACATTCAGGGGATTCTGAGCCGAAGCCACAGGCAGGTCTCCCTGGGTTAGAGGTGCTCCCTGCTGGTCAGATCATTTATGATTGGAAAATGACTTCAGATTGTACCGTTTTCAAGGACTCACTGGCTTTTTGTTGTTGTTGTTACTGTGCTTTAATTATGTGTGGATTTTGATTAGTGAAAACGTGGTTTTGGAGATAAAATAATTCTGACTCCATAGTAAGTCCTTCATTTTTGCCATATTGTGTTCAAGTGAATTATGCTTGTTTTCACTTTCTTCTGCTTTTCTCTGTAAGTTTGGGAATAATGATTTTCTTTTTTTCTTTTTCTCAGATCTTCCTCCAACTTCTTTTATTGTTTCTTTGTTTGAGGCAGAGTTTTGCTCTTGTCACCCAGACTGGAGTACAATGGTGTGATCTCGGCTCACTGCAACCTCCACCTCCTGGGTTCAAGTGATTTTCTTGCCTCAGCCTCCTGAGTAGTTGAGATTACAGGCATGCGCCACTTAGCTCGGCTAATTTTTTGTATTTTTAGTAGAGATGAGGTTTCACCATGTTGGCCTCAAGTGATCCACCCACCTTGGCCTCCCAAAGTGCTGGGATTATAGGCGCGAGCCAACACGCCTGGCCTCCCTCCACCTTTTTTAAGGGAGCTTTTGGCAATGTATTGTTAACTGGAACTGTGGCCTTCATTACCAAGTGTGATACATCGACTTACTACACAGCCCGCCGCCAAATAAAAGGCAAATTCAAAAGGGATAATGTTAAAAACTTAGTAGCAGTGAGAGAAGGCGACCAATCTCGAGTTCCACGTAGTGTACTTTAACAGAAACGAAGTAAGATTTAGAAAAAGCAGAGCTCTAGTGGGAGGGAGAGTGGGCTTGTGTGGATTGGGCTGGCACAGGGCAGAGCTGTGAACCACGAGGCCCAGGCGTGAATGCACAGAGAAGGCTGGAGTAAATATGTGTGATGTTAACCATCAGCTCACACTCAGTCTCTGCGCTGCACTACATTGTTATGATTTGGGGGAATAACATAAAGGATATTAAGACAGATCACTCATATGTGGCCCAGGATTTTGGAGATAAGAGTTAAAATATAAACAATCCATGTCTTAGTTTCACTGAGGCATAAATTAGTGAAAACAAGTCCTTTCCCAAGGGGCAGATGTTCAGAGAAGGGAGAGGTGTGAGGTGCCAGGGCACTGGTGGAAGTTAAGGGACAAGGGTGTTATAGGGGAGGATGTGGTGGCTTCAGATTTAAAAATGTACAAGTGCAGTTGTGAAAGATTACGTCAGGCTTGTTTGTTTTCACACCTTGGGAAATTTTATCCCTTTAATAGGAAAACAGATTTGCAGTTCTGTGTAGAGGTTGAGATTTGCGTGCTGTATTAGGCTGTTCTTGCATTGCTTTAGAGAAATACCTGAAACTGGGTAATTTATAAAGAAAAGAGGTCTAATTGGCTAATGGTTCTGCAGGCTGTACAGGAAGCATACCGCCACCCATCTGCTATTGAGGAGGCCTGGGGAAGCTTCCAATCATGGTGGAAGGCGAAGTGGGAGAGAGAGAGAAAGAGAGGATGGGAGGTCACACGCTTTTAATGACCAGATCTCCTGTGAACTCAGACCTAGAGATCACCAAGGGGATGGCCCAAGCCATTCATAAGGGATCCACCCCCATGACCCAGACACCTCCCACCAGGCCCCACCTCCAGCACTGGGGATCATATTTCAACATGAAATTTGGGTGAGGACAATATCCAAACTACGTCACATGCTGCACTATTATTTTATTGGGAGTGAAACTCAAAATAGAAAGGAGTTTATCAGAGGCATTTCAGACATCTTCCCCTCTCTTGCTCCCCAAGCAAGGCACTTAGGGTGAAGGCCACAGCTTTCATGTGGGGAAGCCCGAGTTGATTGCCATTTCTCCTTCCTGGAAACTTCCTAGTTCTTGCACATTGTCCTCCCTTGAGTTTCCCTGATATGACACAGTCATGCCAGTAGTTTTCTTTTTTTGGCAGAGGGGGATGGAATCTCACTCTGTTGCCCAGACTGGAGTGTTGCCCAGACTGGAGTGCAGTGGCACGATCTCGGCCCACGGCAACCTCTGCCCCCCGGGTTCAAGCTATTCTCCTGCCTCAGCCTCCTGAGTAGCTGGGATACAGGCACCTGCCACCATGCCTGGCTAACTTTTGTATTTTTAGTAGAGACAGTTTCAACATGTTGGCCAGGCTGGTCTCGAACTCCTGACCTCAGGTGATCCACCTGCCTCAGCCTCTCAAAGTGCTGGGATTACAGGCATGAGCCACCGCACTTGGCTAATTTTTGTATTCTTAGTAGAGACGGAGTTTCACCATCTTGGCCAGGCTGGTCTCAACCTCCTGACCTCTGGTGATCTGCCGGCCTTAGCCTCTCAAAGTGCTAGGATTACAGCATGAGCCACCGTGCCTGGCCAAAGTTTAGATAATTTAATGAATGAATCCCTTTTACCTCTGCTGTTGTATGTGTCTTGAGCAGGTGCATTGTGCATTTGATTAGGGTAGACCTAAAAGGGTTGTTGTACTGTCCCAGAATAGGTGCATAGATGGAGCAGGGTCTGATGTCTGAATGCTACTGTTCATGCCTGTCTTCTTGGTTTATTTTGGTGTAGCACGTAGCCGTGAGTTCCGGCAGTGGGCAGAACGATCTGGAAAAGATGACCAGTGTCTTGAAAGCTGTGCCACAGGTTAAGTTTATTTGCCTGGATGTGGCCAATGGGTATTCAGAACATTTTGTGGAATTCGTGAAACTCGTCCGTGCCAAATTTCCTGAACACACCATTATGGTAAGTACGGTAGAATATTACGGTAGAACATTCTCAAAATGGGGAAGCCACGAGGGAGTTGTTCAATGTGTCGGGGGAGCTGTATTCTCTTCAGACATTTTGGTGCTTCTTTGGTCAAAGATTAATTGAGGATCATTTGGGAAAGGATAGGTAGCCGCTGTGGAAGATCTGAAAACTAGCTTTCCTCTATAAATAATAAAAGCCCCATCAACTTCGTAGGATGTTGGCTCCAGTTTTTCCTAAGTATTATCACGTTTCTTACTATCTGATCCTTTTTTTTTTTTTTTTTTTTTTTTTTGAGAAGGAGTCTCACTCTGTCACCCAGGCTGGAATGCAGTGGTGCGATGTCAGCTCACTGCAACCTATGCCTCCCCGGTTTAAGCGATTCTTGTGCCTCAGCCTCCCGAGTAGCTGGGATTATAGGCGCCTGCCACCATGCCTGGCTGATTTTTTGTATTTTTAGTAGAGACTGGGTTGCACCATGTTGGCCAGGCTGGTCTTGAACTCCTGACCTCAGGTGATCCGCCCACCTTGATCTCCCAAAGTGCTGAGATTACAGGTGTGAGCCACTGCACCTGGCCCCATATGATACCTTTAAAAGGGTCTATAGTACTTCTTAACAGAGAGTGTCTTTTAATATTGAAAACATGTGACTGGGTTTGAGTGTCACATATGTAGGTCCTCCATGTCCCACCCCTACTGCCAACGGGAAACTCTGCTGTAGGAGTTGGGAGTCCATGATACGAACATTTCATGACAGTCTACTATCAGTGGCGAATCGGTCGGTGGTATATTTTATCTAGGAGCTTTGTTTCTTGACTTTTCCTGTATTTTCCTAATTACTTGCACCTTAACTAGTTAGAATGTAGATTAGTGACTTTTGGGAAAGATGGATTGGCAGAAAAAGGGATTTAGAAGCTCTAGAGTACAACTTGGGCTTTTGCAAAAACCTGTATTGTAATTAGGCAAGGTTTTGCTAATTCTAATTATGATGGCACATACTGATTGACCACTGGATAATTTAACCCTTCGTTTTTTGAATTTTGAACTTCATTTCTTCTCATATATGTCATCATTGTAAGAAAGTTGGGAGGAAGGAATTGTTATGGAGTAAAGTCTTCTGTTAAAGGACTTCCAAGGATTGTTAAGTATTTTTATGCTTTTCAAACACATAGGAAGAAAGGATCAAGAATTGTTCCAGCCGGGTGCAATGGCTTATGTAATCCCAGCACTTTGGGAGGCTGAGGTGGGTGGATCACCTGAGGTCAGGAATTTGAGACCAGCGTAGCCAACATGGCGAAACCCTGTCTGTACTAAAAATACAAAAATTAGCCGGGCATGGTGGCGGGCGCCTGTAATCCCAGCTCCTCGGGAGGCTGAGGCAGGAGAATCTCTTGAACCCAGGAGCTGGAGGTTGCAGTGAGCCAAGATCACGCCACTGCACTCCAGTCTGGGCAACAGAGGGAGACTCCGTCCCCAAAAAAAAGAAAAAAAAAAAAAATTGGCCAGGCGCAGTGGCTAACACTTGTAATCCCAGCACTTTGGGAGGCTGAGGTGGGTGGATCACAAGGTCAAGAGTTTAAGACCAGCCTGGGCAAGATGGTGAAATCCTGTCTCTACTAAAAAAAAAAAAAAAAAAAAAAAGGGACAAAAATTAGCCAGGCGTGGTGGCAGGCAACTGTAATCCCAGCTACTTAGGAGGCTGAGGCAGAGAATTGCTTGAACCCGGGAGGCAGAGGTGGCAGTGAGCCGAGATCTCGCCACTGCACTCCAGCCTGGGTGACAGAGTGAGACTGTCTCAAAAAAAAAAAAAAAAAAAAGAATTGTTCCAAGGTCAACCACCTGTACCAGTGTTAGAAGTGGGTTGGGAAATAGAAAAATTCACTGTGTTCTCTGTAATAGAACAGCCAACCTCATTGTTTTTGATGATGTTTGTTGAACACTATTAAATAGTAGGAAATGTATATGTGTTTATTGGCCTCAGCCCTTGGTTCTTGAGACAGAACTCTTAAAACCCTTGTAGATAACGGTGCCCAGAGAATCTTTTGTTCTAATATTTGCTCTTTGATCCTGGTTGCTGACACAGCTTCTAGAACCTTTGTAATTTCCGGAGTGATGAGAGCACCTGGCACAGAGCTTCTGAATCCCTTGGGATTTTCTGGGTGGTAGGAGTAGTTTTTGTTCTAATATTTGATCTTTGACCCTGGTTCCTGACACATGGCTCCTAAATCCTTTGGGATTTCCTGGGTGATAGCAGTGGAGCTGCTCTTGTCCTAACAAGACAAGTTTTAATGGGCTCCTGTGTGGGGGTTTGTACCAGATAGACCAAGCTATGATGAGAAGCTTGGAGCTTCCAGCCCCATCCTCCATTTTCCAGAGAGAGGAGAGGGCTGGAAGTAGAGTTAATAATCCATTATGCCTCCTTGATGAGGCCTTCATAGAAACCCCCAAAGTATGGGGTTTTGAAAGCTTCCTGGCTAGTAACACGTCTGCAAGCCTGGAGGGTGGCAGACCCCAGCTCTGTGGGGACAGAAGCTCCTGTACTCCGGACTCTTCAGACCTCACCCCGTGTCTCGCTTCATCAGGCTGTTCATCTGTATCCTTCATCATAGCCTTTATTAATATGATAAACTGGTAAACGTTCCATAAGTGGTAATCCTTTATATCTTTTGATCTTCTTTTTCTTGATAGTGTATTTGAGATTCACCACGTTGCTTTATGTCAGCTGTGTATGTATATTTCTTGGTTCCTGGAGCTAATCTTTAATATCATTTCCTGGAGCTAATCTTTAATATCATTTCCCAGATACCTCACTTGCTGTTTTTCCTTCTCTTTACTTTCCAGCTGGTTGTATCACTGTTAAACTCACTCCTTAATGCTCTTTGTCTGTTTGGCCTGCCATCATAAAATACCATAAACCGACTGGTGTATAAACAACAGAATGTAATTGCTCACAGTTCTGTGATTTTGGACAGAAATCAAAATCAAGATGTTGGCTGATGTAGTGTCTGGTTTCACCGTTACTCATAGGTGGTGCCTTCTTGCTGCGTCTTCATACGGTGGAAGAGGCATTCAGGCTCCTTGGAACCTCTCTTGTGAGGGCACTAATCCCATTCATGAAGGCTGCACCCTTATGACCTAATCACCTCCCAAAAGCCCCGCCTCCTAATGCCATTGGATTGAAGATTCAGTTTCAGCATAGGAATTTGTGGGGGACACAAACATTCAGCCCATAGCACCCCAGAAATCAGTGTGGGCACATGAGCTGAGTCACACTGGGGAAGTTGCATTCTTTGTGAATCTCACTTTCCTCACCTGTGAAAAGGAGGTTGAGGATCCTCGTGGCTGGAGAATGACTCTGGGGCTCAGATGGGATGCAGTTTTATAACAGCGCTGCCTTCACTAGCAGTTGCTCATCTCTGGTGAGTGTCGTCAAGGGCACCTGCTCTGAGAACTGAGTCAGAGATGGAGAAGAAAGATGGAGGGTAATGTGGGGTTTGTTTTAAGAAGAGAGAGAAAATGTGTGTCACTGTTTAAAATGACGAGTGATAGTGGAAATGTATTAGTGTTCCCAAGCTGTCCATTGCGTTCTCCAGACTGGAGCTGCTGTGGGGTGTAGTTCACAGCTGGGCCTGCTGAGAGCTGCAAGCTGCCTGTTGGACAGTCTAGAGAGCCTGCCTGTCACCTCTGGAAGGACAAAGACCAGGAAGGAGGGAAGTGCAGGAAGGAGGGGGCTGGGTAAGACGAGGGAAAGGGTGTTGTTACCAGTGTAGAACTTAGGAGTTGCTATGGGGGAGTTAACTGGGAGGGAAGAGATTGGTTCAGAGTTCCCACAGCTGTCTGGGAAGCCACCAACAGCGAGACCCTCTCCAGCACCTGCTGGCTGGCTGGCCCAGGGGTATGTTTTCATTGCTCTTACTGGTTTCCCCAGCAATGAACAGGAGACTTTGGCAAGGTAGGTGTTTATTCTTAAGCTGCTCTGTGCCTGCAGTGACCCTTGCAATCTGTGATTCATTTGGAAACCTCCAGTACTTTTATGTCCTTGGTTTTTGGTGTTTTTGAAATATAATTTCTCTTATGGCTTTTGGAGGCATAGTGAAGATGCATTCACATTTATCCAGTGTTTTGGAACTGAATGATGTAATATGAGGACTGAGTGTTAGGGAATGGAGTGTTATTACGATCGTTACACTACAGTGAACAGAAAGGATGCTTGCAAACGTTCCAGGCAGAAGCTGGCAGTTCCCGGCCTCTGCACCAGGAGTGAGGGTTTGTCACTCCCTGTGCTCAGTTTCTCCTGGTTTTTTTCTTGCCTTTCACCTAAGATGAGCCTTGCCACATAGAGGTAGGAGAAGCAGGGATTTCTAGAGAACAACTTTGGCAGAAAAGGTCATATTGAGGGGCTGGCTGATTGAAGAGTATACCAGGTCCTGTGGCCAATTTGCCTGGTGGCTTTCAGCGAGGAAAGAGAATAATGTGTTTTGGGGTACATTCTCAGTACTGTGGGAAAAGGCACTAGCACAGACTAGGCACTTCTTTTTTAAAAAAAAATGTTTGTCGAAACAGAATCTTGCAGTGTTGCCCAGGCTGATCTCAAACTCCCAGCTTCAAGCAATCCTCCTACCTCTGCCTCCTAAAGTGCTGAAATTACAGGCGTGAATCACCATACCTGGCCAGAACTTCTTTTATAATAACAAATCTTTGAGTAGAGATAATAGCGCCTACTTTTGTTGACGTGAAACTTAGTCCTAGAGAGCTCAGGGAGCCTTCTGAGGGTTACACCACCAGTGAGAGCTGGATCTGGCATTCAGGGCCAGGTGGCTTGCCTGGGCCTGCGATCCCCCACATGCCACCAACTCAGTCTTGCTGGTGAGAGGTGAAGCTAGCTGGACTTTCTGGGTCCAGTGGGGACTTGGAGAACTTTTCTGTCTAGCTAGAGGATTGTAATTGCACCAATCAGTGCTCTGTCTAGCTAAAGGTTTGTAAATGCACCAATCAGC